GCTTCAAAAATTCTATTTGACTGGCTTTTGAAGAAATATTATTAGAGATAATTTCATTCAAAATTTTTTGAACTGGCTGAGTTATAAACTCAAAAGTGATACTTTTACTATTATAAGTACCTGTAAAGCTTTTTGTATCCCAATATAAAAAAGGCATTAGTTTTATAAAAAATGGGACACCTAGTATAACATCGCGTTCAATGTCTTTCACCAGAACAAAGCTTTCTGGTATACAAACATCTTGTTGGCAAATATAAGCCCTAGGCAATCTATATGAAATGCCTATTACACCACCACTAGCATTTTCAAACGATGAGTGGTTTTGTGAAAATATCTAGAGGGTATTACCCTTTCTTTCACACAATTCAAGTCTGCTCCACTATCAAATAAAGCAACAAACTCTTTTTTGAAATTATAATCAATTAAAAGAGTTATTTTTATTAAAAGTTTTTGAGTGATAAAATATTGCAATTTTTCTACAAATTCATCTACAGGAAAATCCATTGCTGCTAGTAAAGTATTCGCAGTTCTTTCCTCAGAAGAACTAACAATATTGTCTAGCTCAGCAATTTTTATCCCGGGGTCTATATTGATAGAATCAGAATTTTCTAATTTGAAAACTCTTTCATCCAAAGCTACATTTGAAGCTTTCAATTCCGAGATTTCTTTCTTGAGACAATTTATCTCAATACTTAAATCTTGGACAGTAGCTAACCTTTCAGGCTGAGACTTATTTTTCACCATTTTTCTTATTTCACTCATGGTGTAAGGTCCTTTTTGAGATGGAATTTCTTCCGCCTCTATTCCTATTTCTGAACTTGTAGGGAGCTTATCTATAAGCTGAGATCTTATTTTAGGGTCTTTAATAACCCTTAAAAGATCAATCAGATTGTCATTAGAAATAACATTGATCTTTAAGTCTCTAAATTGAGTATAAATACTAAAGATTTCATCATCAGTATTACAACAATGATTCGAGTATTGTCCCTTATTACGGGATTCTTGCTCGTCTTCAGAAGATGAAGTATAACTCTCTTCATGAAGGACTCTTAGTTCTTCACTGGTTGAAGAATCATCTTCATCAGTGTCAGATATTTATGGAGAAGAATTTAAAAGAATCTTATATATAAAATCTTTGATATTATCATCTAAATCCAGCTCTTTGATCTTATCCTTGATTTTACAATCTTTTGCGTAGTGGCCAACTCTACCGCATTTATAACAGGCCTGAGGGTTTTTTGATTTAACAAAACCCTTTCTGGCTTTATGAAAAGCCTTTCTACGAATGGTCTTTTCCCGCCGTTTCTCCGATGAACCCTTTCGTTTCTTGAAATCCTTTTTATGGGATTTCTTTTTCTTAGAAGGTATATCAATGGCGAATTGCTCTCAAAATTCACCTAATTGTTGTCTCTCAGTGAGACGATGTTTCTTAATTTGCTGGTTTAGCTTGATTAATTACACAGAGCTAAACCCTCCTGAGTGCATACACTAAAGAGTTTCCCATATGAGTAATTATTGTAATCAATACTCATCCCTGTGCCTCTAAGGACTTTACGGATCCTTTCAGCGAATAAGGGAGGGAGATCGTCTATAAATTTAGACTTCCAGTGAGTACTATTACAATCTGGTAATTCCATTACTCTGGATAAGAAAACATCTTTATACAATCTAAAAGATGTGAGGGTTTTACACCTCAAATTCTAGAGCATTGTCCTAATGGTCTCACTATTATCAGACCACCTTCCAGAAAAGTGTTCAATGATATTCATGACTAAAGAGTAGACTGAGTTCTGTACAATCTTATCCTCTTCAGTCTTGGTTGCATGCATTATTTGAACGCGCTGGTCTTGAGTGAGATAATTATCCCACCATCCTTTCAGTTGGCCAGTAAATCCGGTAATAATCATTTCTGCAATTGCCCTATCTGTATTCTTATTAACTTTACAGATAGTACTGTACATAAGCATTCTATGTACTATCGTATAAATTTGCCTTTCGGCAAGACCATCTATCTTCCATTCATAGATATCTGACCCACTATAACCTTGGTGGTAATGGTCATTGTCCTGTTCTTCTATCAGGACATCTTGGGGTGTAGGTTTTGGGTAGTAAAACATTCTTTGATATGGTTTTCGAGCATATTTTTCGGAGATTTTATTAATCTCGTCAGCTACTTTTGTTCCGCTAGTAGATGCATGCTCTAAACTTAGAGGACTAGCTCTAAATTCTCCAAACTTCTTATTAAGAAGTTCCTCAATGTTATCGAGACTTTTTAATTTAAAGTCTTTCACCTCAGGTGGTGGTTAGATACTAGTAGTAGCGATTTGTTCTTTACCTTTAGTATCCTTATGTTGACCCTTTTGGACCTCAGCTATAAGCTTGTCCAATTTCTCATGGATCTTAATAACCTATTCACCCAGAATACTCACATACATGTTAGTATAATTGTTTTGGGTAAGCATGGTATTCAGATTCTTAGCAGTTATTGTAGCAACATCATTCTCAAATATTTTTGAAAAAGCAGTGCAGTAAATGATTTTATCTTTTTTTCCCTATATGAAAAGATTGTTGGGGTGGGAAGATAGAATTAATAGTATTCCCATTAGTGAGCGTATAATCTCTTTCCAACACAGAAACATAGTTATAAACATGCTTAGACATAAACCAAGGAACAAAAGTAATAATCTTATTATTTTTGCTAATGTCTGTATAAAAGTCATGTCTAAAAAATTGTATCAATTCAGGAGACATATTTTCATGAAACCATTTTCTGAAAACTGCCCATCTGAGTTTTAGAAATTCTTCTAAAATCATTTTTCTTGCCGGTGAACCCGGACTAAAATCTATTTGGTTGTCATTCATTTTTAAAACCATTTTTAAAATCCATTTCTGATGTAGTGGGTTCAAGATCTGGAATATTATTGACCTTAACAATATTATCACTACTAATGCTGACTTCATTTATTCTTCTACTATTTTCTCTAATTTGTGATGTAGATGCTCTTGATGGAAAATCTACCACATAATCAATTGGAAAATATAAGAAGAATTAGATCTAGTTAATCTAGATGATAAACTGATATTATCAATTTGTTCTGGTTCATTGAACCTGATTTTAACAGTACCATTTGAGGTTTGTTCTATTTCTGTAACCTTAGTATTACCAGTATTTCGAGGAGCAACAGCCTCTTCTATGACCCATTCTTTTGGGAAATCAATCTCATCCCATTTAATAGGTCTTCTAGTAGTTACTTTGGATTTACCAAAGTTGGTTTCTATAAGAATAGTTTTATTTTTCATATCCATTATTCTACACATAGAATTCAAAGTGTATAATGATTTGAAATGAATTCTATAACAGATGCACATAACTTCTGTACCAGGTAAATAATTATAACCATGCAATTTGATGCTAAGTATTAAAGCATTCAAAGAATTCTCATAAGAGATATTTGCAAATTAGGATAGACATTAAAAAGATTGGCACCGTCTGTGGGGAGTACATTAATTTGTTTACTTATTGATATATTCCAACAACCACTACTTATATCAGTCTTCATTCTTCAACGTCCGTGTGTAGCCCAAAACCATCAAAATAAGCAACCTTGTACCAATTTCCATTCTCAATCTAACGAAAGGTGAGATTACTTTGACATTTCTCATTTGGTCTTTTGTAGCATATTTCACATTTTATCTTCTTTATTATGAGTTTAATTCTTTTCTTTCCCACCAGATCTTAAACAATGGTTAGTCTGTAAGCTGGGCGAAAAGTTTTTTTAAGTCATTTTTCTTAACAGGAAGGGCATAAACCTTGCAAATCATACTGAAAATGACCATGGAATCTTTTAACTAAATCTACCAAAATTAATTTTGGATCTTTCCTAGTAACTGCATCTAATTTCTGTTAATAGTATTATCAGAAGCTGCATTTAATTTCTGCAGAAAGAGCATTACTTTGTATGTATTTGCATTGAATTGCTTGCATAGCTAAAAATTTGAAATACATCACGAATGTATTAGGTATTACTAATAAAAGGAAAAAAATAAATTTGGTTTTTTCTCTAAATAATCTTGGTGCCTTTAACTTAGACACAAAAGACTTTACATGTAGCACTACTTTTCTTTTTATATATAATTTGGGTTTTTCTCTAAATTATGAAGATTGTTGATCTTGTTTCATTGCTTTTTATTGAAGGCTTGAAGCTGACAGAGCTATTAACTCAAAGGCAATCGTGAAAGACAGCAAGCCAATTGACATGGAGGTTGTTGAGACTAGTGAAAAAAGATCTCAAGCTCCTGCAGAGCCTTCTACCCAATGTAGTTTTCCATCAATTGATGATGAAGTTGTGGGCTTTGCAAAAGATGCAGAACATATAATGAAGAAATTGACTGGAGGATCAAAGGAGCTCGACGTTATCTCAATCTTTGGAATGGCCGGACTTGGTAAAACAACACTGGCAAGGAAAGTGTACAACAATACTTCTATTATTAACCACTTTGATGTTAAAGCATGGTGTACTGTTTCACAAACATATGACATGAGGACATTGTTGGTTGATATTCTTGAACAAGCTACAAATAAGGAGTGGAAAATGAATGAGGACTTCGACATAGGTGACAAGTTGCAGAAGACTCTAAAAGGCAGGAGATACCTCATTGTCTTAGATGATATATGGAAAGTTGAGGCGTGGGAAGACCTAGGATTATGTTTCCCTAAAGGTGAATATGGAAGTAGAGTAATGGTAACAACTCGAATTGAAGAAGTGGCTAAGCATCTTCAATACCACAGTGATCCTTATTCTCTTAGATTTCTAACACTGGAAGAGAGTTGGGAATTATTGCAGAAAAGAGTATTTCAAGGAGAGAGTTGCCCCCTGGATCTATGGGAAGCAGGGTTAAAAATTGCCGAACATTGTAAGGGATTGCCTCTTGTCATTGTGCTGATTGCTGGAATTATAGTGAAAACAGAAAGGGAGGCATCCTTGTGGCTGGAGTTTGCCAATGACTTAAGTTCTCATGTTTTAGGAGAGCAGAGCATGAAGGTAATACAATCAAGTTATGAGCATTTAGAAGACCACTTAAAGCCTTGCCTTCTTTATATGGGATTGTTTCCAGAAGACCATAAAATTCCCATGCATGATTTGCTGAAGTTGTGGATGGCTGAAGAGTTTGTAGTGAATGTTGACACAGAGAACATGGAGGAAGCATCTAGATTTTGCTTGAACGATCTACTTAAGAGAAGCCTTGTAATGGTCTCTAGAACGAGAATTAATGGTGACATAGAATGCTGCACACTTCATGATGTAGTGCGTGAATTTTGCTTGTGAAAACTTACAGAAGAAAAGTTTATGCAGCTCACAGTGCCATACTAAGGGACTATTATTGCCCATCTCATAAAATAGGGACCATTTTAGCTAAGACCCAAACTTAAGAACGGTTTTAATTTTTTTTGTAGTGACTCGGGTTAAATTTGAATAGTACTCAAAAGTCAACTAGGTCAGTGTGCAAATTCAATGTCTCTGTCTTTTCTTAAGTTTAGATCTAGAAGAAATTATCTTAAGTTGACTATTATTCAGAATTGTTTAAAGCCAAGTCTTACCATAATCTTAATTATTATTGTAACACCTCCTTTTTTACCTACACCCCCGAGAAAGGGTGTAAAGGGAGTTTTTTCCAATTTAAGTGACAATCGAAACGAGATCTATTTATTAAAAGATTCAGAGTTGCCACTTGGGAGATTTATGGTGTCCCAAGTCACTGGTTGAATCCCGAATCGAGGAAAAGCTTGACTCTGTTTAACAGTCCGCGAACCAGAAATTCGAGTAAGGAATTCTGTTAACCCGGGGAGAAGGTGTTAGGCAATCCCGAGTTCCGTGGTTCTAGCACGGTCGCTCAACTGTTATATTCGGCTTAATTATCTGATTTTAATACATTTTGAATTTATGAAAATTTTAGTTTTAACCGCTTTTATTCATTTTTTTAAAGAAAATTGCAACGTTTTTAAAACACGTCTCGAACCACGTCACATAAATACACCCATGGTTTTTGACATATCTTAACATTGTTGAGATTTGGATTTGGGTCAATAAATGTGCACCCGAATTTAAGAAGATAAATTATTAAAAGAACGCGCCTGAAGCAACTACGCGTTTAACTTCGCGAGGGTCATGAAAATTTGCTAAATGGCACGCCTCGAATTCTAAAAAAAAAAAGCAAACACATTAACTAAATGAAGGCCGTGCATTTAAGATTGTTGGGCACGACACCCCTCAATTTACTTTAAAAGGAATTCAAACTAGATTTCGGAGGGCCATAAATTATATTCTGTTTAATATGGCACAATAATACTACAAATCCAACTCCATGAATCTGAACTGAAACCAAACACCTTAATTTTTAGGAACACTTTCAAGAATCAATCATTTAAACAAAATAGTTTTCCATGAAAAAAAAAAAACAGTAGCTCTGAGCTAAGATTAAAAATAGAACGCCACTTTCCGAACTTCTTATTTCTGCACAATTCGCATTAACTTGATCCAAATCTATCCGCCTCATAGATATACACAACAGAATCCCCGACCCCTAATTCCATAGAATAACATCCATTCATATTCCTAAGCACTTAAAGAGAATCTGTATTGGCCTGTTATTATTATAGCTACTCACATGAATAGTTTGAGCCCATTGTAAATTAGTAAAAACATACAGTAAAATCATAAGAGGACCCTTTTAGTAGCAAACTACTCTTTCATGGGAGTATCACTTTCAAACATAAAAATCACCTCTTCTATACCTTACTCTTTAGAAAAATTCAGGTCCTGGAACGTATGTAATAAGCAATGACTCAAGTTTACACAACAAAGTTAGCTCAAAGGGTGCTAGCAACTTGTGTAAGAAGCTCTTCAAAACAGAGTAATGCAGCTCATGAAAAACTAAAGACAATAAGCTAGCTATTTCACTTCTCAGAGCATATGCTCACTCTTGATAGCAAAAGGATCTAAGCACAAATTGCTACATGTTTTCAAAGGACAGCAGAACAATTCAGGCACCGATGAGCAGACGTACGACCCCAACAGAAGAGATATCAAATCTTCCACCATAAACTCATTTCAAAGAGAGGAAAACAAAGAGACACTTTCTAAAAATTGCACTTGAATGCACTAATTATGGAATTCCAACTAACAGAAGTAAGCTTAAACGAACCCCGGTCTCATTTATCGATGACCAAATGGTACAGAACTCAAAGGAAGATCACAGAACATCTATCGTAGCCATGAGTCCAAACAGATTTAGAATCTGCTTTAATAATCGTAGAAGTTAACACAAGAAAACAAGGCAGAAACGAACAGCCAAATTAGGACAACAATTAAAAGGAAATTAGTATTTTGGAACTGAGATGATCCCGTCTTATTTAAAGGTGAAAAACAAATCACTGGGAATAGGAACAAGTAAACAGAGAATGCAAACTGATTGAAAATCCAGTGTGAAGATAGCTTGTATATTTCAGTATTAGGGCATGAACAAAACTGCTCATAACTGGACTGATTGGCACCTAGTACACGAATAAGCATGAAATTTCAAAGATACACGAGCCATTCAAACTCAGGCGACTAACTGTTCAAACTATGAGACCAAGTTAAGGGTGAACAAGATTTCAGGAAAACTCAATCAAGGCAACATAACTTGGTTCAAAAATTGAATGTAAACTCATAATTTACTACTGATTTTTACTCACCTTACTCAAATCAGCCTCTTGTTGCTTATAAAGGAAACTAAACATGTACAAAGCTATA